ATATATATAACATAGCTACTAGAAGGTTGTAAAGATGCTTACACGTAGATTCTTGAAGTCTACAGTATTAAGAAAGGTGATTTCATAAAAGCCCTTCTGCAAATGGTACACCAAATTGCTGACCTTCAAATTGTTGTTTGCAGGCCAATTCAAAAAAATTACATATACTGCTGTAACAACATCTGATTCTCGTGGTATATCCACGGGATTGATATAGTTGTATTCCTCTTTGGTACAAGTGTACCAAACATCTCTATTATAATGATCGTTTTGAATAAACCATGGTGAAGTATTGTATATTGCTTCGCCGTTAATTTCCACCCACTCGCCCAACTGATAAAGTCGTTCTTGGAATATAGGTTCTAGAATTCCATCTTTCATAGGTCCGACGTTGATTAGCACGTTCCCTTAAAAAAATACTGCGCTTTTTTGACGTCATTTATTTATAATGTAAAAAAAAATACTATAGCTGCCTCAATGGCCGAACGGTTACCATGCTGGTCTACCACGCAGAGGTCTCGGAGTCGTTTCCCGAGCAGAGATAAATATTTGTATGGCCTACATTTATTTATCTCTGATTTTGGGTGTAAGTTGTGTATGTCTATAATACAGGGTTTCCCCAGTGCGGGGCTATGTGTGCGTTCATATTATATTATTATGCAAATTATTATTGATAATAGGAAATGAAACCTTTTTTTCGGATCTAACTCGCGTATATTTGTTTTTTTTGAAACAAACCATCGTTTCGGGCCCTTTACATGCGTCACGTCCTCAACCAGTTATGTTATATGTATTTTTTGTAATTACTTTCATTTCCTTTAAGTAACAATCGCGCAAACCTAAGAACTCGATATTATTTATTAACCATTTCGCGCCCACCTTAGTCAGTGTTCTAACATGTACGTTGCACGATATTCTTTATTCAATCGAATAAAAGAAGGTATTTAACTATATCCGGTAACCTAAAATGTTACCGGATATAGTTAAATACCGTAGGAAATTTTTCATGATTGTCAAAAATTGGAGAAACTGAACAAATCAAAATCCAATCTTCCGAGCCCACATGAAGGACACATTGACATAAATAAAAATTAGAGAAATCATTGACTTAAACAAAATCGTATCTCACAACCAATCTGTGTTGAGGACAAATTAATGTCACTTATTTCTGCGGGACCACGAGTTTTTGAAATTTGACTAGTTAGTTACAAAGTCGCCATTTACTCGGTTCTAGTCGAAATCTAGTCGATCCGCCGTTTAAAACTGTTTCTAAATCTACATAGTTTTTTTGCGATTGGAATCGACCTGACTAGTCAAATTTCGAAAGCTCGAGTGTGGTTATGCTGGAATAAGGGACGCGAAAAATTGACATAAATAACTGTACCTATCTCATCACAATCTACATAACGTTGAAAACAAATTTATGACAATTTGTCCTCCAAAAAGGGTCTTCTAATAAGAGGTTCCAGTTTGATATGTAAAAAGAACAGAGTATTTTTGAGCGAAATCATTGGATGTTTATTTAATTGAACAGAGGAGGGTATGCCATTAATAATGGAAACTATACCAGTCAAATGGCCGCCACGGCTGCGCTTGCAGGACCATATTCTTCTCATGAAATTTTCCACCAATTCGCACATTTGCGGCTGTTTGTCCTCGATAACTTCACGAATTCCATCTATGAGTTCTTAAATCGATTCTGGGCCATTGCCATAGACCTTATCTTTCACGTAGCCCCAAAGAAAAAAGTCCAAAGGTCTTAATCACAAGATCTTGGAGGTCAGGAAACTTTTCACTCAAAAAAGCGATGGTATCGCTACTTGTGTGACACGTAGCGCCATCTTGTGAAAATAAACGCCCACATCAATATCTTCCAATGCCGGCCATGCAAAATCATTAATCATCGTTCGGTAGCGCTATCCATTCACCATAACTGTTACTACAGTTTCATTTGCGAATTGGTGATGGAAAACTTCATGAAAAGAATGGTTCTGCAAGCGCAGCCGTGGCGGCTATTTGACTGATATTGTATTCCATTATTAATGGCATACCTACCTCTTTACAATTAAATAAACATCGGATAATTTCGCTTAAAATACTCGTTTTTTTTTTACATATCAAAATGAAACCTCTTATTGGAAGACTCTTTACAATACAACGATATTCGTTATTCAATCGAATAAAAAAAGCTTTGAAAAATGTTCAAGAGTTCGCATAAATTGGAGTAATTGAATTAAGTAATCAAAATCGAATGTGAATGTGTCCACGTTGAGGACAAATTGACGTATATATAAAAATTAAATTCAACAAAAATCTTATACCACCGCGACTCACTGTCGTTACGACATTTTCCAATATTTCGTTGATACTCATAACATCACATAGCTTCATATTCCGTCTATAGCCCCAAGACTTCTTATCCAAAGAGAAAGCATTCTCCCATTTGTGCTCAAGCAGCTTCTCTGTTGAATATGTTAATTAAGTTACTTACTAGAGACACTCATATTATTAAACGTAAACTGACATCGTGGCTGAGTGGTTCCAATGCTAGTCTGCCACGCAGAGGTCCTGGGTTCGATTCCGTGGCCGGGAGAAATATTTGTATGGCGTATATTTATTTCTCTCGTGAGTTTGGGTGTAATTTGTGGTTGTCTATATGTGTGTTCATGGCACCCGCGACACAGGGTTTTCCTATTGCGGGTCTATGTTGAGTGTGTGCATAAAAAATAGGATAACTTAAAAAAATCAACATTTATAAACACAAACTTAAAGCTACTTTGCACGATTTAACCTTACCTGGCTTCGCGGAGTAGCAAATTAATTTACTCCATTTTTTATTAACATGCATTTCTGCGAATTTTTGTAGAGTAACGCCTAAATCTATTAATTAACTTGTCTATAAACCTTGTAAATTGTAATCAACTTACTAGGGTTCGAATTACTGCAGTTATAAACGTCTCCGTGTAGACAATTTGTGTTATTGCCCCATCTATCATTTACCACTATGTCATCCTTAACAGGACTCTCATTGTACAGCCAAGCTAAGAGTTCTGGAGATTTCCAGTAAGCATCACTTGCTTCCCAATCTCCATCAGACCAAAGTATGGAGGGTTTGTAGTCTTCGATTATCTGTTTGATATCTGGCCACATCTTATTGTCTGTGTATGCGCTTGTTTCGAAATGTGTCATCTTGTCATCTATGTATATTGGATTATACCACTCATACAAGGAGTAGTAAACGCCATACTTCATGCCGGCTCTCTTCACGGACTTGCCTAGGCTTTTGACAATATCCAACTTAGGACCTATATCCACCGCATTCCAACTGAATGAACGCTTGGACGGAAACAAACTAAAGCCATCGTGATGTTTAGAAGTGAGAATTACATACCTGAAACAGACTATGAGGATAACAAGCTGCACAAAGACAGGTTGCAGTTATTTATAATAGCTACAAAATGCAACAAACGTTTTAAATTTGGTAATACAAACTTTGCTCCAGCTTTAGCGAAATTCGCAGCCCATTCGTCTGGGTCAAATAACTCAGACGTAAGCCCAGGTGCAAATTCTTGATAAGTAAACCCATTGACGTAATTATTTTTCATAAATTCTTGTATTTCTTTATCACCTGCAATGTACAAAGGGTCTTTCGTCATGACGGTACAAAGCAGAGCGGTACAAATGTAACATGCCTACCTACTGTTCGTCCAAATATTACACACAATTAATTACCATTTTGCCAATAATGCCAAAACCATTCTGATTTTAAACCAGGCACAGAATATACACCCCAGTGCACTAAAATGCCAATTTTTGCGGCATCGTACCACTGAGGAAGCGGGCGGGTATCCAGATCGTTCCATATCGGCTTATAGTTTCTAGCCTTCAATGACTTGGAGGAATTTGGCGCGCTTATTATATTCAGACTTTCTTCATTAGAATCCCGTACTTTAGCGTAAACTACGCAGATGAAAACAGATAACAGTGATATTTTCAAATGTAACATCCTCATAATTCTGTGGAAAAAACAATTGCTTAGGCGAATCCAGATACAACAAATAAATAATTAAATTACTTCTTCGTAATGACTCAGAAGTCATGTTTATGTGTAATGACCGAATACCTTTTGGGGCGAGTATTTATTATGTATGTTACCTACTGTCCTTATCACAGGAAAATACTTAAAATTAACGAAGTACTTATTTAAGGAAAATAGTTTTACACAAGTGTCAAGTTGTATAAAAATGGAAAGTCAGATTTTGAAACAGAATAGAATGCTTAATTTCAGCCTACCTAAAATATATCAAAAAGAGTTTTTTATTGTTGAGATTAGGTAAGTTTGTTGACATCAAACTAGCTCGTAAGTTGGAGTAAGGTGACCAGTGAGGCGAGACGAGACGAGAATGACAATGTCTATTTTCACCAAAAATTGTCACTAAAAACTATTGCTGAGGTTATAGGATAGTAAAATAAAAATATTGAAATACCAGTAGAGTAAATTAGTTGGTTAAAAAATCCTGATAAGTAATTATAACAATAACTAGAGGAGATAAACACAAAAAACTCACACAATTCAACAAAAACATATTTTTCTGAATCTTAAATTCGCACATGACAAGTACCTATTATCTCAAAACGGCTTTAAGATAAATTAATATTACCTATTTAGTTTCAAAGCGACAGTGTTGTCCTGGCAGTTTTAAATTAAATCGTATATGAATGACACATCAATATAGCGAAATTTTGGAGATATAAATTATTAATATAACGGCAATTTTGAGATAAAATATAACGCAATTTTTGAGATAATACTATGGTTAGTTGTCAAGTGCGAATTATACGTACCCCACAATCTGGCGATTGATGTTAATAGGCATCGTGTGAATCGTGTTTCCGTTGCAGAGTCATAATTCTATGCAGGCAGCAACACCCAACAAATATCTCAATTCTCGTCTCGCACATCCTCAGCAATCCGAGCCACAGAATGTATGCTAGGAGATAATTTAAATTTTGCCATACAAATTTGAATTCATCGTTTCGTTTCGCCTTACCAGTGGAAAAGCACTTTTATGTGCGGCAAACTCTGTAATCTGCCAGCTCGATCACCGCAGCTGGCGCGTCGCCGTCTCGAGTATTTATTAAAACTAAATACTTGAGCTTCGAGGCGGAATACAGCCACATGATCACACGACATACAGTGTTACTTTTAAATGGGACAGTATGGGGAAATGCGAAACCATGGAAGATACAAGGAAACTGTCTTAGGAACCATCAAGTCTTTTTTGTGAAAACAATTTTGGCATTTTTTAAATTTTTATAAAATTGATATTCAATTATTTTTTGTGAAATTACTCCACTAGTTTGTTATAATTTTTTTTAATATATATAATAACGCACACACTCAACATAGCCCCGCACTAGGGAAACCCTGTGTCTCAGGTGCCATGGACACACACATAGACAACCACAAATTACACCCAAACTCACGCGAGAAATAAATGTAGGCCATACACATATTTCTCCCGGCCTGGGAATCGAACCCACAGAGGCAGTTCAAATATTAATACAAAGATCGAACACTCAGAAAAATTTCTTCGATCCGGCCGGATTCGAATCGACGTCTTCTAGCGTACCGTGCCAGACGCTATACCAACTAAGCCACGGAGCGGACCTCACGAATTTTTTTCCATGTGCTTGTTGTCGTGTCTTTGTATTTGGTTTTTTAATGACTTTTTAGTCGTAGCGCCATCCATGACAAATCTATTAAAGTTTTATCACCCAGTTAGATACCTTTACAGCCACCAGCCCTGGCGAGAGATCTCGCTATTCATTGTATTTTACATTTTTATTGAATTGATATTCAATTATTTTTTGTGAAATTACTCATAGTTTGTTACTAGTTTGCTATAATTATTAATACAAAGATCGAACATTCAGAAAAATTCCTTCGATCATAGATTTGTCATAGATGGCGCTACGACTAAAAAGTCGTTGAAAAATCAAATACAAAGACACGACAACAAGCACATAGAAAAAGGATTCGTGAGGTCCGCTGGTTCGTTCCGTGGTTTAGTCCGTATAGCGTCTGCCACGGTATGCTAGGAGACGTCTGTTCGAATCCGGCCGGATCGAAGGAATTTGTCTGAGTGTTCGATCTTTGTATTAATAATTATAACAAATTTTGGCATAGTCAATTTTTTGGTCAAGCGTGACTTGTCCATAAAATAAGTGATTATAATTTTTTGTAGTGCTGACTTTTTGAGTCCGTTTTATGTAAGGATCATTTCATTGTATGGGACGAAAAAAATCGGGACGGCAGAAGTTGGTCAAATTTCATAAAAATTAAATGTTTTTCATACAAAATGAATAAAATTGTCAGTTTTTTAATCCCGATAGACTCAGCTTCTTATAAGAATGATTTACAACTTCTGCTGTCCCAATTTTTTTCTTCTGATACAATGAAGTCATCCTTACTACTACATGAAACAATTTTTGAACCTACCTATATGTGAAATTTTATAATTGCTAATTAAGCATACAAAAATTGTCGATTAATTTTATTCGTCTCTACGAACCTTAAAGCATATAAGACTACGAACTACGGAATGCCAAAAAGGTCTGCGGAAGTCGGAGGATCTTACTAATTTCTCCATATGCTTGCTGCAGATCTTTGTTTTTGGTTTTAACGCCTTTTTGGTCATAGCGCCACATGTAAGAAAGCTTTTTAAAGTTTTTTCTTCAAGTTCTTAAATTCATAGTTGTATGAATATTAGTAAAAACATCATGTTCATATTGAAGAAAATAAATTTCTACAAATTTAATTCTATGACGACCACAGTCTACAAATTTTGATAATATGCCTATAACAATGTTGTACCTATGCCAAAGTAGGCAGACAATAAATAATAGGTATTCTATGTACACACATCAAAAGTGTGTACGAGTCAAGCACGTTTATTCCAATTACTGAATTGAAAAATAAATTAATGAATTTTTTTTAACACCGATAGATTTTTTGGTCAATTTTATAATTCGAATTTAAAACTGAAATCATCTAACAAAATCCATTGGTGTGAAAAAAAAAAATCATGAAAAAGCCAGATTTTCAGTATAATTATTATTATCGAAAACGTGCTTGATCCCTACACACATTCGATGTGTCTAGGGATCAAGATGACGGGTATACCTCTTACTTCAGAACACATGAGGTATTATTGGAAATGAAACTGTTTATTTTTTTGGGATCTAAATCACGTACATTTGTTTTTTTATACAAACCAAAGTTTCGTTCGTTCATTTTTTAGCATAAATTTAAATATGTGTTGAAACCACCCGAAAACTGATTTTGCAGATATACATATACTACGGGCGTGATTTTATAAAAAAAAAATCATTTTTGGCAGGTTAAGCCTGGGTGCTTAAGAAAAACTATTTTTTGTAGAACTAAAACAGAGAAGCTTTTCTAAATCCTTGTATTTCCCAATAATAATAATAAATGCAATCTGGTGAGTAATGTTCAATGTTACAACTTCGTACGAATCTTCAGGGTCCAGGCATGTTTGGTGGTCACATCGGCCTTATCAGGCAGGGTGATTTCAACCACACCTTTCGCGATTCGCCACTGAAAGTAATTTACAATAATAATTACATATAGTTTTTCAAATGCTCAGTAAAAACATTTAAAAATCAAAATTGGTACAAGCAACATATTTCTTCTACACTAAAGGGAACCATTAATTAACGAACATATTCGACATGTAAGTCAATACGTCAACCGACATGTTGAACAAGACGCCCGACACACACGACACAGCAAAGATATTAAATAAGTGAATAGTCCGCTCAATGTGAGAAATAAACACTTTTGCAAAGATAGATAAAGAATGAACTCACGTTTAAATTTTCGAAGCCTTTAGAACCCAGCATATCAACTTGGAAAATGCCTTTGTGCAAATAAGGAGCCAGATCTTTAACACTCAAAAGGTTACTATTGGGCCATTTTAAGAAAATAGCATAAACTGCTGTAATTATATCTGATTCACTCGGCAATGCCACGGGTTTCGAAGGGTTGTATTCTTTCTTTCTGCAGGTGTACCAAACGTCTGTATTGAGGCTGTCATTTTGGTACGACCAGGGCGAGGTGTCATAAATTGCTTCGCCATTTACGGTAAGCCATTCACCCAGTTGCAAGAGACGCTCTTGAAATATGGGTACGATGATTCCATCTTTCGTTGGTCCAACATCGATAAGTGCATTTCCTTATAAAAAAAAGATACTTTAGTAAAAAAAACTGGAGCTAAGTATTTTTTTTATCACACCAAGTGACGAGATGAAGAAGACGTGAGCCTGGTGGAAAGCGACGTGCCTGTCCATAACAGTTGTAGTGTAACTCAGAACTTTAAAACGCAAAGATCAGAGGAACACTGCTACTGACAAATCCCATGTGCCTATAATTTCACCAGCACCCTTACAAAATTGAATTAATTAAATTCTGCATGCTATCGAAAGTATGAAATTTTTACAAGTTTTCTCTTATATATTATTTCTGTATCCAAAAATAATAATAATAATAGATTCACACTAGTTTAGTACTAAAAATGTATTATTAGCAACATAAAATGTCTGCTCTGAGGAAAACTGCCCCTTACCTCCGCAGCTCACTGTGGATACAACTGTTTGTAGCAATTCGTTTATGGTCAAAATTTCCGATAATTTCATATTCCTTCTGAAACCCCATGACTTTTTGTCTATAGTGAAAGCATTTTCCCATTTGTGGTTCATCAAAACACCTGCACGAAAAATTAGTAATGTCAAGTGTTTATTAGGCAAGTAGATTATAATTACTTCTTAAATTTATGGAACTAGGGTCAAGATCAAAATCGAAATTCATGTAGTTTTATGTATCAAAAGTACATAAGCTCAGTACAGAGTACTAAAAAACCGACTTCAAAAGTTCGTAGAATGACATCTATTTGCCAAGTTTTATTGGTATTGGTTGCCGGAAAGTGCACGAAACTGAATTCATCCCCTAGTTCGCCACCCTTAGAGGTGGAATAATATAGTGGAATTTTCTTCAAATTTAAATAGGACCACTACCGAGTTACCCTCTTTCCAGAAAAAAATTAATCATCAAAATCGGTTTACACATTCATATAAAGAAATGTCGAATTGGGAACCTCCTCCTTTTTTAAAGTCGGTTCAAAAGAACTCTCTTTACGCGTTACTTCTTGTAATTTATCTCTAGCATGGAACACCTATTGCGCAAGTTATACTTGCTAAGAAAGTTTCTAGATTTACAACAAATACCTATTAAATATGATCATCATCAACAACCTATTTATACGTCCCACTGCTGAGGAGTTAAAATGCGGGTTGGGGACTACACATGTTTGTGAACATTCTTCGACGTGCTGGTTTCATCATGATGTTCACCAAAAAGCATATGGCAAATGTTAAATCAAATTTCAGTATAAGCCTGGCTTTGAACCCTTGGCCTCTACTTGAGAGGTGGTAGGTCAAACCATTAGGCTACCACTGCCTTTTATATAAATATGCTAATAGCAAAACTCCAAATGTTTCAGTTGTGTATTTCTGTTGTCATTTATTGGTAACTATCTGATTGAATTCATCTCTACGACATATATTCTGCAATATATTATATACCACAAAAAAATTCACATACCAGGATTATATCTATCTTTGCAATTGAAGAAGTCTCCATGATGACAGCCAATACCTCTGCCCCATCTATCATTGACTACAATCTCATCCTTAACAGGGCTTTCATTGTAGAACCAGGCTAAGAGTTCTGGTGACTTCCAGTAAGTGTCATTGGCTTCCCAATCTCCATCAGCCCAAAATAATGATGGTTTATAATCATTAATAATCTGCTTTATATCTGGCCACAGTTTGTTGTCTGTGTAATTTGTAGTGGTGAAATTTGCATTGCTGTCTTCTAAGTATATAGGATTAAACCACTCATATAAAGAATGGTAAACACCAAACTTCAATCCAGCTTCTTTTACAGCTTCAGAAAGATGTTTTACTATGTCTAATTTGGGTCCTACATCAACTGAGTTCCAACTGAATGAGCGCTTTGATGGAAATAATGTGTAGCCTTCATGATGCTTAGAAGTGAGAACAACATATCTGAAATATAGTCACAAATTACTGAAATAACTAGAAACTATGCTTATTGCAAATTCTTTTATAAAATTTGTAAACAAATGAATAGTGTGAACTTAAAACTGATGCAAAAATTATTTTTTAAATTATGATGTAACTATCTGCGATCATGCCGTGAGCAATAAACAGATCTGTGGTATAGTCGATTGTGGAATAAAAAGCCCGGTGATACTTTCTTCCATAATCATTACTTGACTGATTGTGTTTTCCTGATTTAACTTTCTAGTATCCTCGACTTTTCCAACTCAAGCCACCCTCACACTTTTCGTCAACTAAAGATCTTGCCAAAATGTTATATATATCTCCTGTTTGATAGTTGATAAAGGATCAATAAAAAGTCCCAAAAATTTTAAAACAACAAAAATGGCATTGGACAGGATGCATAATGAGAGAAAAAAATATATTATAAATGGACAAAAGATACTGTGGAATGGTACCCAAGAGAGGAAAAAAAGGAAGAAAGGGAGACCATACTTTAGATGGGGAAATAATTTTATTTATTGCTGGAGGATATGCATGGAGGCAAATAGCAAGAGATAAGAAGAAATGGAAATCTCTGAAAGAGGCCCATGTCTTAGGACAAATTGAAGTCATCAAAAGCATGTCATAATAATGTTTCTGTATTAGATAAGTTAGAAAGTTCATTCTTGATAATCAGCAATAAAGGTTAATAAATAAATAATTATAAATTACATATCTTAAAAGAAAGTAAAAGACTTTTAATTTGTAAAAGTATCTTAAACTAAATTGTATACAAACTTTGCTCCAGATTGGGCGAAAAGTTTTGCCCACTCTTTGGGGTCAAAAAATTCAGCTGTGAACATAGGTGCAAATTCCTGATATGTAAACCCAGGGTAACTCTTTTTCATAAAATCGTTTATTGCTTCATCATTGCCTGAAAAATAACATGAAATTACACTATTTAAGTACATGGAATAATTTATTTAACATTTTGCTATTAAAATTTATATCAAATATTTCAAAAATATCAAAAAAATATTTTAAAAAATTGCCTTCAAGTTTCAGGTGTTGCGACATTTAAAATTTGAATAATATATAAAATACTAAATAAACAAACTTTACCACTTTTCCAATCGGCCCAAAACCATTCACTTTTGAAACTTGGCACGGAGTATACTCCCCAATGAAGGAAAATGCCAATTTTAGCGGAATCATACCACTGAGGCAGAGGGCGGGTGTCCAAATCGTCCCAATCCGGGTTATAGGTTTTAGTGTACAAAAGCTTTGATTCATTTGGCATGGTAACGACATTTAAATCGTCAGTTAAAGGCTCTTGTTTCGCGTAGGTAACGCAAATTAAGATATATAATATTAAAACGTTCATCATTTTGTCTGAAAATTATAATTAAGTGCAGTTACAATGAAATCTTGGAGCATAAATTCAACACCACTTCGACACTTTCGATGACTGACAGTTGACACTGACAGTCTCTTTCAAAACAAAACCTTATTTTCCATCGTTTACGATAAAACCGCTAATTTGCATCCTTTTTTTCCCATCCTCTAAGTTTCCATTCTGTACGTAAGTAACCCCTAAGTAACCTACCTACAAAAATTGTTTGAATATGCCACTGTCAATGTCATTGTCAATGTGAGTGAAGAGAGTAGTGTTGGGTCATGGAAAAACCACGGCTCTAGCATAGATATCTCTGTGGACCGTCCCACATTGGGCAGTCCCATATCTTTCTACATGAGTTTTGTCTAGAGTGTCTCTTCCTATCAACCTATAACCTGCGTGCAAGTAAACCTGCACAGAGACCTCAGTCAGGTATCAGCAAGGTATCAAAAATCAAATTCTAAAACTTGAAGATACTGATCGAAAACAATCGATTTTTTTTACCGATATTTTCACATAGGTATGATTCTTTCACTGTTGTCCAATCATTATACTAACTTACTTTTAGCTATAAGTACATACAATTTTATTTTGTAATTCATGCTAAATAAACCAACTTTTATAAATATTCTCAAACATAAAATATAAAAAATCCCTGAAATAGAATCTTTACATTTATTTAATAAATTTGAAGTATCATGTCGAAATTAAATCTATATTAAATTCAATTTTAAGGACACATTTTTATTTTTTGTAGATTGAGAAATTAAGATTGTTGAAATTATTAATTAAATTAATTAAAAAATCACACTTATTTATTAGTTTCTTCCCTTTAAAACTACGGATACAATATGGAACAGAAAAAATCTTCTCGACCTGAAAGCTCCTTCTGAAGTAATGCAATTTTCATTTTTATTTTTTTCATTGTATCTAAAATTTTCGTGATCGCTAAATAATAATCACACGCAGGTATACCTAAATCCTATGAATCACAGTTACTCATAGTCATGGGCTTCTGTGTGACAAGGAAGAAGAATAAAATCTTCTGGATAAAAATAATGAAGTATCCAGATGTGTATACATTATCGAGCTTAGTAGTGTAAGTATCGAGCATTTTCTTACCTTCCTATAGCTGTTTCACATAAACACTTAAAGCGCCACATTAGCAACGTGTTGATGCGTTGTTGTTTAACAGGTTTTTGGTGTACACTAGTATAGATGTCGTAGGTTTTGAGCGGTTCGATATTATTCAGAAGCATAAATAGCAAATATCGTTTCTAATGCGGCACTAAAATGTTCGTTAAAAATGGCTCCCAAAACACCATTATTGTAATGCCATTTTCTTTTATATATTTATTTAGTTACCCCAAATACTCTTTACCTCCATTAGTGGCAATTTTATTGTGTACTGAGTTTAGGCTGTTAAAACGGGTCTATCTTTTTATACACAAAGGGAACTACTCTAAAAATTTTATTCGACAGTAAAATAAAAAAGTTATTGAAGGGACTGTTAGTTACTGAAATGTCCTTATTTAAAAGTGAGTACAGTGCTTTATATAGTGCTTATAGCGAATATACTGTTATAATAATAACTGTTGGAATAATATGAATATTATTATAAACATTAAATGGCATATTGTACTTCGTGTTTTATTATGTTTTATTAATTATACATACTTCTCAATGAATTGATGACATTGGTACTAAAAGAGAAACACATACCTCTGTAGATTTGCTATAAAAACGTCCAGTAAAACAATTTTCAAGTTTTTCCAATACTTTCCCTCGACAAAACTGCCAGATAGAATACTCCTTAAGTTTTTTTATTGCACAAAATGTGCTTATATATTCACTTTATTGGTACACATACCGTGCGGTACCCGATAAACTCCGATGTGGTTGCTTGCCTATAAACAACTGATAAGGTACGCATTTGTTTCACCAGGAACATAAATACACATGTAGTATGTACTTAGTAGCTACATTACTTACATTATTATATATATAAAGCTACAAGTTCTTACTCACTGATAGAAATAGAACGCATACTTCCCGATATGGTGGAAAAAAAATATTTATACCGTTGTACGCGGATAGGCTCCAAAGTAAAAAATCAAATATGAGAGGATCTGAATATGGAAAATATGAAAAAGTGATCAACGGCCTGCAAAAACTATAATACATGGGATTTTTGTGCATTTTTTTTCTTTCAAATTCAAATAAACAAGATGGCCGCCATACAAATTTCATAGCCTCCTATCACGGAAACTATTAGAGATAGGTAGGATGTGCTCGAAGGAATGTCATAGAGATTAATAGTGGTCAACTGCCTGGGTTAAAAAAAAACAAGATGGCGAATTCAAAATGGCGGCCGAAGAAAAACTTGCTTCGATTCGGCTGAAAATTGGTATGCGGGGTCTTTTGGAGTCCTTAACCATATTTTGGGGTCAAAAGTTTCTTTTCGCCATTTTTTAATATGGCTGTCATATAAGCGTTTTTTTCGTCAAAATTGGCTGCCGAAACGGACTTGCTCTGATTCGGCTGAAAATTGGCATGCGCTGGCCTCTAGAAGTGCCGTGATAATAATTTGTGGTCAAAATTGGTTTTTCGCCATTTTCAAATATGGCCGCCATAGAAGCGTTCGTTGGCGGCGGAAAAAAAATGCTCTGATCCCTTTGAAAATTGGCATGTGTGGGTCTCTAGGAATGCTTGATAATAATTTGTGATCAAAAATGGTTTTACGCCATTTTTTAATATGGCCGCCATTCAACAACTAATAAAAATTAGCTTTAATTCAACTGAAAATCGATATGTCGGGATGTCTATAGGTGTCTGATAATAATTTGCGGTCGAAATCTATTTTTCGGCTTTTATTCAATAGGGCTACCATACAAACTTTTTTGGCGGTAGATAAAAATTTCTTCTAATTCGACTGAAAATGGCATGGCTTCAATTACAATTTGGGGTAAAAATTATGTTTTTGACGTTTTTCGATATAGCCGTAATTTTTTATGTAAATGGCTATTGAAAAAATTTGCTTTGCTCGGACTGAAAATTGGCATGATAAGATTTCTTAAGATTTTTGATAATAATTAGTGGTCAAAATATATTTTTGCAATTTTTAAACATGGCCGCAATTAAAGAGCCATTTCAATTTTTTTAAAACAAAGCCACAATTTTTTTTAAAATAAAGCCGAGTCCGGAGGCCGATGTCTACGGAGGGCGAAACCCGAAGCGTCCGCACGCCATCAAATACGAGACGTAATAGATTACGAGTACAAGATCTCACAATTGTAAAAATGTAAAGCATGCTTCCCGTTGTAGTGGAAATGAGATACTTATTATAGCGTTGTTGTATCTAAACCGTCGCTATGTTAGATTTCATTTTCTTGAAAGCTATGCCAAAGAAAAGTATTTAGGGGGAAAAAATGTCAAACTACCGCCGAATTTCCTGTACTATGTAGGTACTATGAATACCAAATCAACGATAACCTAGAATACTCAGACCAAAACCAACTTAGAAATGTTCGATTCTTGAATGGGCATAAATCGGGAATCGATCTCCTCATCAAGCGCCCATAGTACTAACTGCCACCGAAGAGCATGAGCACTTCCCGTAAACTGAAACCGACCACGTGCCGCAGGCCGAGCGCGACAGGGCTCGTTTATACATATACTCAATACCAATGTTTTATTGCATACTGTAATGTCATACAAGCATTATGAGCCCTGTAAAATTTTTTTCTGTACGACATATAGTAATTATTTACATTAGGTTACATTTTAGTAGTAGTAGAGCACCTTGTGAAAGACTTCCGCCAAGGAACTATTACTACCTTGCCCTAATGTGAGCTTTACTGCGTTCCGATTTTGAAGGAAAGGTGCTGCACGTGGGACTTGTTAATTTATGCTTAAGGGGACTTCACGCGGTCCGTAGCCCGATTTGCGGCTAGCGCCGCGTATAGGTCCGAGGCCGCCCGGACTCGTCCGTTTTGCGAGCGAGCTCGTATAAATCGGCGCGTTTGACAACACGATGCGAACGCACCTTCAAAGTGACGGGCGCAGTGGCAGTGCCCCTCAAATCATTGCCATTTAAAGATCTTCTTGTAGCTTTATAAAAAAGGAAAAACGTATAAGTCCCTTTATTTTTTTCCATCCTCTCTAAGATAAGTCCACAGGATGATGTATTCGACAAAGTGTAAAAAACAATAGAGGTGACAGTTTCATATATCAAATTTAAAATATGTTTTTAAAAAAGAATGTCAGTGTTCTTATTACATAAGTAATAAACCGGAACACAGTAATGCGGACATTACTGTTTGGCGGCAGAAATAGGTAAGGTGGCAGTACCTACCTACTACCCTGGACGAACTCTTTCACAAGGAGCTCTACTACTATTATATACCTATATACTGGGCATGTAGAAGCATTCCAATCTAATCTGCAATTGTAAAATGTCTAACGAACTACACACATCAAAAGTGTCTAGGGATCAAGTACGTTTAAGAGTATTGCTGCAATTAGGGTTAATTATATTAACTTTTTTGTATCGCTATTGATACTTTTTAGTGAGTTTTAACATTTAAATAAGGAATATTGTTTAAAATTCGATAATAAGAAAAAAATCGATTGTCAAAAGTGTTTTGTATAAAAATGAGTTATAGCGTTTTGACAAAATCATTACAATATCTGCATCGGAACCGAAACAATTTACATTATTATGGAGAGACGACATCATTTAACCCGAGAAGTGATGATGCGAGCCGTCGGAATGTTGGAAGCTGGTTCCAGGCAACGTGCTGTGGCTTTCACTCTTAACACTACACAGAGCGTCATAAGTCGCCTCTGGACGCGCTATCGCATGACGGGCAGCGTGGCCGAGCGACATGGAGGACGATCTCGCATCATGACTCGCAGACAGGACCGGTATATCCAAAATACTGCTCGACGGAATCGTACCATGACCGCCATGATGTTGGTTACGAGGCTCCACGGCTCCTCAGGCTTGCTAATAAGCGATCAAACAATCCGAAATCGTTTACGTGAAGTGGGTCTGCGATCCCGAAGGCCGCTCAGAGTTCCACCTATTGCACCCTGCAATCGCAGGACCCGTTTACGATGGGCTCGCGAACACAGAAACTGGGAGGAAGAAGACTGGCGCTATTAGTGCTTTTCGGATGAATCCCGCTTCGGTATGAGACCGGATACAATACGTACTCGAGTTTGGAGAATATCTGGACGTCATGAACGTTTGAGATATTGTCAGGAAGTTCATCCATATGGTGGGGGAACAATAATGATATGGGCCGGTATTTGGATCGGCGGAAGAACCGATCTCATTTGGATCAGGGGTAACCTCAATGCTCAAGTTTACGCAGAGAGGATTGTTTCAGATGTTATCATCCCTTTGCGAGGCCAGTTGGGTGATTCATTTCAACTAATGCATGACAACGCACGTCCACACACGGCTAGAGTCGTAACACGCATTCTTGCCGAAGCTCGTATTAACATTCTGCCGTGGCCTGCTCAATCGCCAGACCTCAATCCAATTGAGCACGCATGGGATATGCTTCAAAGAAGAGCTGTGCCGAGTATGCATACCGTACATACTCTACAACCATATTTTGACTTGTTACAAAACAAATGGGCGGCCATTCCTCAAAGTGATTTTGATGAACTCATCTTAAGCATGCCAAATCGTGATTCGTGTTAATGGTGGAAATACAGATTATTAATTTTCTTATCTTTACAATAAAAATGAGCAAAATCATCATTTTCGCCATTTTTTTGTCATTTAATTGACGCCGTTAATTTGAGTTTTTTCCCACAATTTGCAAAAACATTTATTTTAGTTTATTTTTATTAAATATGGGGGTAAGCGGTTAAATAAAACATAAGCATTAAAGTAAGAAGTCGTCCTGGAAGACTGGATTTGGTAAATATTGCTTAAATAATTTATATTTCAAAAATATTCACTTGATCCCTAGACACTTTTGATGTGTGTACTTCGAGTACTACTACTAACGACTAGTTCTTTTTTTGTAACATTTCGATTCACTATTGACCAAAGTCTGTACTATAAAGTTACCGCTATAAATTTAAAGCTCTGAGTGACACTGTATAACTGACGTGTAGCTTACCATCAGGGGCACGACGTGTACGTCCCGCCACTTGATGTTATAAAAAAAAATAACAGTACGTAGGTATTAAAACTATTTTCAGGAGAACTAAAACAGACAAGATATCTCACCTTTGGTGTAATAAAACTGCATTAGATTAGCAAAATGATAACTTCAGGAGTTTCAAAGACTACAAAGCAAAATAAGTCGATAATTTTTTTCTTGAGAACACGAGAGTTATACATTTTTGCATTAATTATATCTACATAATTTTTCACTTCTCAAGCTCTTAAAGTTCGTATTTATGCTAGGTGTAAGCTGCATGAAATAGGATTTTATCTAGTATAGTAATATATATAATAATATAATAGGATTTGCTCTAGTGCATTAAAATCTTCGTGCTTAAGACTAAAGCAATCAGGCGCCAATAGCCACGCACACTAGGCCTTTCTAAACTAAAGTTTATTAATTTAATTCGTGTTACATTAAATCTTATATAATTAATAAAAGCAGGCAATAGTAATAGTAATAAGTTATAAGAAATAGATGTGCATAAAAAATAAAAGCTTGTACAATATAACTGAGCATTATATAGTCCGACCTGAGCTAAGTGTCATGTGTAGAAAAAAAATTGCAATTTGAAATTGTTTTACAATTCACGTTAAATAATGTCGTCAAGTGACGGGAAAATATACTCACACCTAACATTTTAATTGAGATGAATGGCAAAATGCAGATATTGCCGCCGAAATCTAAGCAAATTTAACTTAACGCGTATGAAAATTTTATGCGTTAGAGAATAAAAAATTAAGAAATTAAGAAAAAAAAAAAGTAAGTAAGTAAAATTAAGAAATTCTATCACAAATACGAAGTAATAAAGTAAATATGTCAGGAAAACCTTCACATTAAATATATCTGATTGGTCTAATTTTACTTTCAATTTTAATTAAATAAACATTTATTTGCAGTATTGTTGTTTACTTTCCTCACAATCGAAGTAAAAAGCAAAGTGTATAACTCGTGCATAAAACCCATGATACCCTTGACTTAACTTTTCACCCTCGGGTGGATATAATACACGTCTCGGGTATTTATTTATTCATTCATTTATTGCATTACATGGGTAATACACAAGTTCTTAAAATAAATATAAGTACAGCCATGTCATCCTGTAGGGCACCGCAATTAACGTTTAACTTAAATAGAAGTTCTAAAATTGAAATAAAAACGTACAATATGCAATTAAACATAATTAATCAAATCAGTATCAAAATCATACTATGTTAATAAAATAGAAATAATTACAGTAAAATTTATAAAAACTTACCATAACAATTTAACAATTTAAAAAATATAAAATAAAATAAAGATAAATAAAATGTCATAATCAAATCAATTTCAAAATCAAAATAATATTTCATTAATAAAATGGAAAGAACAAGAATAAAAATAATGAGTAATTATATGTCTAAGTAATAAAAAGCAAAATAAAATATTCTTTCTTAACAATTTTAAGCAATTTTTATAAATTCATATAATATTAATATTGTTTATTACGTATTTTACATCTTGTCTTTGCTCTCGAAGAACTCTTGCAACGTGTAAAAATGTTTTTGAACAAATATTTTGCAAGTTTTTAAACCTCAATTTTGATGGTTTTAGGAACGTTTTTAGAATTATATAATTTACGCACATGGCATAGGGGCAAGAACTATGCATTTTTAATTTTGAAGGTCAACTGGTATTCTTTGTCTAGGTCGCAGATTTGTTGGTTGTTGTTCGTCTGGAAAAAGATGTCTGTATTTTCTTAAGAATTTACTAGTTTCGAGGATGTAAATCGATGGCAGGGTAAGTATATTTAATTTAAAAAACATTGGTTTACAGCTTTCTGTCTGCTTAAGGTGGGCAAGTATTCTTATGCATTTCTTTTGATACTTATAAGCTTCACCTACGTCCGTGCTGTTGACCCACAATACCACTTCATATAGGAGCCACGCGTATACGCGTATACGCGTAGTATGCACATAGAGCTGTTTTCAGGTCTGTGGTCTTTTTTAGTTTTAATATAATTTTTAGTTTTAATAAGATAAAATAAGTGAAGCTGACCAATTTGGAGCATATTTTTTTAGTATGTACTTACTTGGGTATTCAAGGGTAAAATGGCGTTTTATGCACTTGTTGTACAATCTACTATATTTCATGTAGTTAGTGTTACTTTTATGACTTTGCTTTGGCAAAAGCAGTTTTGACGTAGGTATGATCACATTTGGCTCTATTATACTCGTAATACAAAGGGAACGATAGTTTTTAAGTATATTGCATAATGCATACAATGATGTATTAACTCAAGAAGTGATTTTTTTCAGAATCAATTAAAAACGAATTACACACTTCCTTTATTAAAATGTATATATACTTAGATTAAAGTTTATTACAGACGTCTAAATATTTTCTACTTAAAAATAAAAGGGAATAAATAATTTCACATTTTTAGTTTTTGTTTTGTTTGTTTTTTTATTGTGTCTTACAATATTCTAACGACGGTTTTTATTGACGTTTAGAGAATCAAATACGATCAGCTATAATATAATATTGAATCTCACATATTTTGAGTTACAACACTATAGTAATAGCAGTGCGATATATCCAATTACTATAATAAATGAAATCTTGTGAGTAAATCTCCACGTCATAACTTTGTATGAATCTTCAAGGTCCAGGCATGTTCGGTGCTCATATCGGCTTTGTCAGGGAGGGCGATTTCAACCATGTCTTTTCCGATCCACCACTGAAAGTAATTACGTAATTAATTACACAAATAGGTAGTTTTTCAAACGCTCTATAGAATAATCAGCAGATCATAAATTCGTTCAAACAAGGTATTTGTTTTATATACTGTAGGGACACATGTGCTGACGTTACGTTTTCAGCCCTCCGCGTGTGCGCAGTCAGTCATCGTCTGTCACGCGTCCGGTCCGAACGATTCGAGGAATATTCCTCGCCATAAGTAGTTCTGAGTAAATCTGTGTAAATCTTCTAAATGTTTTGTACCGTATACTATTTGGCAGTGAACAATAAAAGTGTGACAACTAAATTATAAAGGAGTTTTGACTTTGTCTGGAATCCCCGTAGTTAGCACATTAAATCCGGGTGATTAATAGGACAATCCACAATAGCTCCTAAAACACCAAAGGGATAGTTCACTAGCGAATATATCCGGCATGTAATGTTAATTAGTGCTCTTAAACTCAAAATATCAATTAACGGTTTTTTTAAAGAAGTATCGGCTAAAAACTTCTTTGCGAATAAGTTAACAAGGCGCCCGACACGACAGTCGAGGTATTCGATTATTCAGTTGAATCTTTTTCACAAACGGGAAAATCACTTTCGTAAAAATAAGATAGATACAAAATGAACTCACGTTTAAATCTTCGAGGACTTTAGAACCCAGCATATCTACTTGGTAAATGCCTTTCTTCGAATAAGGAACCAGATCTTTAACTATCAAAAGGTTGCTTTTGGGCCATTTTAAGAAAATAACATAAACTGCTGTGATTATATCTGATTCACTCGGCAATGCCACAGGTTTCGAAGGGTTGTATTCTTTCTTTCTGCACGTGTACCAAACGTCTGTATTGTGACTGTCTTTTTGGTACGTCCAGGGCGACGTGTCATAAATTGCTTCACCATTTACGTCAAGCCATTCACCCAGTTGCAAAAGACGCTCTTGAAATATGGGTACGATAGTTCCATCTTCCGTTGGTCCAACGTTAATAAATGCATTCCCTTAAATAAACAAAGATACTTTATATGGAAACGTCCAAGAATGTTTCTTAAAATACAATAAAATTTTTAAAAATGGCAGAGTTATAATTATTAATACAAAGATCGAACACTAAGAAAAAATTCCGTCGATTCGGCTGGATTTGAACTCTACTACGAACGTAAATAAATCGTGACAGACGCTATGCGATCTAAGCCACGGAACGAACTAGCGGACCTTACGAATTTTTCTATGTGCTTGTTGCAGGTCTTTGATTTTAATTTTTACGATTTTTTTGCCATCAGCGCCATCAGTGAGAAATTTTTTCTTCACTTAGCAAGGCAGTTAGCACAGCGTCTGGGACGGTTTGCTGGAAGACGTTGGTTCGAATCCAGCCGGATCGAAGGAATTTTTTCTTAGTGTTCTAATTACAACAAACTAGTGGAGTAATTTCACAAAAATTATTAAATATCATGGCGGTCAAACATCGTGACAATCAATTAACTTCAAAATGACAGAGATTTAAATCATTTGCTATCTGAATTAAATGGAATAAAAATATAATCAAATCACTGTCTATGCTACATTCAGTAAAATGTCTCCGGAAGATGAAATTTCCATTTTTTATCTAATATTTAATCTAGACAAATTCATTGGTAATATTATGCATGTGTCCAAAAAATCAAATAATATATTAAATATATACAGAACAGACTATATATACTAGCGATAAATGTGTCTTAAGTAAATAAGAATAAAATCTGCTTTAAGTACCTATTAATATACTTAAGAGTAATGGTAGCAACATTAATTTTCGACGACAAACTGCCCTTACCTCCGTGGCTCACTATGGAAACAACATTTTCTAGTAATTCGTTTATGCTTATAATTTCCGATATCTTCATATTTCGTCTAAAACCGTATGATTTTTTATCCAAAGTAATTGCACTCGCCCATTTATGGTCCATCCAATCTATACAAGAAGAAATATTAATCACGTCTTTATTTAGGTAAATAGATGACCTGACAAGATACTTTGGTGGTGATGGTGAAAAAACCAGTTCTTATAATTATGCAACTTAGCCGGGACCATAATATAAATTGTTGTCGTCCGCTGTACCGAATTTAAAAAAATAGTTTCACATATTTATCGTGCAGGCTCGACTTGAAAAGTTTTTGGAAAATTTA